AGGCAGATGGACTGCGGTTGGATCAGCCTTCACTGAATGAAGCAAGCTCCATCACTTGTGACTGACGTTGGACTACAAGTCCCATCATCCCTTTTGGTCATACTGGCTGGGGCGCATGGAGGTTGGAGTCCAACATCATTAGGAAGGTCAAAGAGTCCCTGCTTCTACAATATTCCATAGGTGTTTTTGGCACTCATGCAACCACATTCCACGCTTCAATCACGATCGCAATGGTTGCACAAAATATTCCTGCAACAGACATGTTCCCTGGGGAACGGGGGACATCTTGATCCTGTCTTTGGCACAACGGAGCAATTGGGCCACTGCTGTTGTGCTTAAACAAATTATCTGAGAGGAGCCATATAATCTTTCAGCTACTGTACAAATAATCAAGAGCACTTCAGAGTTCTCCAACACGTAGGTGCAAAGGTTAACCTACTTTACTAGACAGAAATATGGGTATTATCCATTTGCAGCAACTGGAGTGTGTTACAGTTTTAGAAAAAGGCCTGGAAGGAAAGTTGTCTCTAACTTGGTTTAGTCATTTCTCTGTATTTATGTGGTAAGAGAAATCCACAAAGTACAGAGCCTTAACATTGTTTGGATTCCTTCTCTTTGCAGCAGGGGATTCTTTGAAATTGCATTTACTTAACTGAAGTGATCACATTGAGAGCTCACTTGGAGTGGAGAGGACCAGAAAAATAGCAAAAGAATTTTGTGATGATTGTCAGGGATTGTCAAGCAGCTTTCCTCAATAAAGTTCAACCTCCTGACTTAAAGTCTTGCGTAACAGCAGCAGCTTTTTCCTAGTTACAGATTCTTCTCACCATAAGTGCACTTGAAGGCTGCATCAGAAGAACTTGATAGCACCAGCCTCCGATATTCTAAAAAAACACTATGCTCCCTGGCCAGCTGCTCAAAGCTTCATGACATGCTGGTATGCTAGACAGAGTGATCTGCCTGGCACACCTGCCCATATCATGAGTCATGCGCTGAGCTGAGTTTAGGAAAACACCCCCCTCTGTCAGTGGCATATGGTGACATCATTCCCTTCTATTTCTGATGTTTGGGCTGCGAGTGCCATTGCTCATGTTGTCAAAACCCAAATCAGCCCCTTCCAACCACGGGGGGGGGGGTATTAGCAGGCATGGGGCAATCACTGGCGGATTCACTGGCAATCACTGGCACCATTAGAATTCCTGCTCCATGATTGCAGTCATAGGATTGTTGTCTATCACATGACATTATATGTTTTAACTCCACAGAGTGGAAGTGATGAAGACAGGATGTTTGTGTTACTGTGTTCTGTGAAGTGGGACTATTGTCCTTTGTTCTTTTTCTCTTTGCTGTCTCATGCTCAAGAAAGAGGGAGCCATGTTGCAGTGCTCCATGAGTGTTTGTAAGTAAATAAAGTAGATTAGCCAAAATGCTGAGTTGCTGGGGTCTGTAACGCAACTGTGCAAACTTTGTGGATCCCTGAGTGTGCCTATGCCTGTTGGCATCAGTCGCTGTGATGTTTGGGCTGAAAAAAGCTTTTGAAGCTCCCAAACGACAGACCAGGAGGGAGAGAACATGTGTCTCTGCCAAGGTCCTACTCGAGTGTAGGCTGAACTCCTGACAGCGCACCCCCACACACACCATTCCAGGTGCCACACCCCCGTGAGTGACGTGCCACACCCCCAGGACACACGCCAGCCACACCCCTGCCTGCTCTCCACCCCCGGTGCCAGAGCATGCAGCTTCACCACTGGGAGCAATCCCAAGTTTGGAGAAGTACAAAAAACTTTGGGAAAGAGAGGAGAACCCCCAGATGGGGACTTACTGCCCTTGGGGGATCACAGAAGTGTCTGTTGTCCAGGGGTGGAGTAGGGGAGAAATAACAGGGAGGGGAAACGGAATGGAGTGTCTGCAATCATGAATAGCAGAATGCCATAACTTGTCTACATTTTTAAAAAATCTATTGGATTCATGTTTTCTATTGTCCCTTGTTTTAAGATTAGTCAGCCACTAACTTACATTAATCAAGAAGGAAGCACAGCAAATTATTTGCATGGGTGTATGCTACATTAAGGTCTTTTACAGGTCATTTTAAAGGTGCAAGCTTAAAGGGGTTTTTTTTACACATACCTAATACATGTCATCTGGTATTGTTTCTGTTTTGCACATGTTTGACTAGATCAAATAAAAGATATCCAAATGGATAAAATTGACCCCAATCCACAGATTTATAAATTGAGTAGGTAATAGCAAAATATAGGTGGAATAAGAGCCAGCTCAATATTGCTTGCACAGACTGGCAGCAGCCCTCCAAGGTTTCGGCAGGGAATCTCTCCCAGCCCTGCCTGCAGATGCTGGGGATCAAAGTTGGGAGTTTCTGCATGCAAGGCAGATGCTTCACCAATGAGCTACAGCCCTTCCCAACTTACAATTCTATGATTCTGTGCTGGGATTCCTGCATTGTAGGAATGACCCCCCGAGTTCCTTCCAAGTCTACAATTCTATGATTCTAACACAGTAGCTCCACTGCTGCGGTGATTAAGACGAGCACATCATTGTCTCGCTGGGCTGAAAAATCACACATATCTACATAATGAGAAAAATCAGAATACACGTTAGAGGAGTGCAGCCTCTTCCTGCTCAAGGCTTTGGCTCCCTTTATGCATACTAAAGCACACGGCAGTTACTTCTGTGTGGTATCAGAGCCAGCCCTAATATTAGGGTGTGTGAGGGAGGCAGCTGCCTCAGGTAGCAGTTGTTGAGGGCAGGGAGCAGCGTCAAGGTGTTGGAGGACAGAGCTGTCTGTGTGCCACAGGGTCTGTTCCTTCTCTCTCAAGATATCTTCCTGGCTTCAGGCATAATGGAAGATGCTGTCCCACTGTCAGCATCGCAGTAGGTTTCAGCTGCCAGTTTGGTCAACTTTGTACATGGAATGGGAGGAAGCACCAACTTGTCCTTCACCTAAGACAGGCATGTCCAAAGTCCGACTAGGGGGTCCAGTCCGGCCCACCGGTTGGTTCAACCCAGCCCGTGTGTCCTAAAAAAAGGTAAGCAACTTTGGTTGGCCCTTTGGAAGGGCCCCACTGCCCTTCACTTCATCAAATCTGGCCCTCTTTGAAAAAGGTTTGGACACCACTGACCTAAGACCATGAAACGTTTGGACCAGCCCTATGTGGAACAGTTCCACGTGGCTGTGATGTGTGTGAAAATATTTCAGGCTTGATTTCATGGGTCTTTCCCTCTTGATTGGCTTTCTTCTGTTTGCAAGGATGGCTTGGGAACACATTTCCATTTCGACCCTGAGTGAAGAAGTCTATTGAGGCCTAGTATTATCAAGATTTGGGAGTGTTTCGTTTTTACCTTCAAAAGTTTTTGTTAAATTCATCTTGTGTTGTGGAGCCCAGTGAGTCTTCAGTAAATAGGTCCAGTGACAAAGGTATAACAAAAAAAATTCCTTCCAGTAGCACCTTAAAGACCAACTAAGTTAGTTCTTGGTATGAGCTTTCGTGTGCATGCACACTTCTTCAGAAAGTATCTGAAGAAGTGTGCATGCACACGAAAGCTCATACCAAGAACTAACTTAGTTGGTCTTTAAGGTGCTACTGGAAGGAAATTTTTTTGTTTTGACTATGGCAGACCAACACGGCTACCTATCTGTAAAAGGTATAACAGCCATTTTATTCTCATTCCTAATGAGTGGAATACATGTTTGTCATTCAAATGTGGATAGGGGATTTGCCTAAAATAAAAGTCTGCTTGAGAACTTAAGGCGAGGGGGGAAATCTTCTGTCCAAAACATGTCATGCACCAACAAAATTTGAGAAAATCTGTTGTTTTCCCTCTTGTTTTTGTGGTGAGCAACATTACTTCCTTCTTTGTTTCTTCCTGGCAGCGTGTCAACTGGGTGAAAGAACAGCCCAAGTCATAATCTCCACTCATATGACTGTAATATTCATAGATCACAGCTGCGTGAGACAATGCCGCAAGGAGGCAGTTACCGTGTATGTGCATGTGTGTGCTTGAAGATCTCTGTGAAGTTCTTTTTCAGCTCACCAGTAAACTGATACAGATAATTAATTACCATTTCCATTGGGATGGGAAAAGCTGTTGCCAGATACAAAGACAATATACCTTTGAATGCCAGATTCTGAGGGCAAACACAAGAGAGGCTCATCATCTTTACGAATGGCTTGTGAGCTTGCAGAAGCATCTGATTGGCTGCTGTGAGCAAAAAAGAATGATGAGCCAGACAGACATTGGTCAGTTCCGGCAAGGTTATTCTTACAGATTTAGTCTCCTGCAAACATTCCAAAATCTCATTTGCTTTCTAAGAGTTCTATCTTGGCTCATAATTTTGATACAGTGGTACCTCAGGTTACATACGCTTCAGGTTTCATACGCTTCAGGTTACAGACTCCGCTAACCCAGAAATAGTGCTTCAGGTTAAGAACTTTGCTTCAGGATGAAAACAGAAATCGTGCTCTGGCAGCACAGCAGCAGCAGGAGGCCCCATTAGCTAAAGTGGTGCTTCAGGTTAAGAACAGTTTCAGGTTAAGAATGGACCTCTGGAATGAATTAAGTACTTAACCTGAGGTACCACTGTATATGTACACTGATGGCACTACCTCAACGCCATAATGTTGCCTTCTTTGTGTCATTGGACTACACCACTCTTCATCCCTGACCATAGGTAATGCTTCCTAGGGCATACGGAAGTTGGAGTCCAATAATATCTACAAATTTTAGAGGTCCTAAGGTTCCCTGCACTACAAAATGTTTGCAGGCGCAACGCTGGTTTATTCAGATAATATGGATTTGAGTTTTTCATACAGGTAATTTTGTTTGTTGCTTTTCTCAAGCCCATTCATTTACTCCTTATGAGAAGAATGTTATTAAAGAAAATCCTTCACGTTTGCTTAGCAAAATAGCATGGAAGATGTTAAAAGCAGACACCTTGCTCCCCTTCCTTCTGTCCTTCCGGTAAAGCAAAAGCAAACTAGAAATTGTAAACATGCCTAGGCTAGGAAATAGATTTTATTTCAGCAGGACAGCAAGATAAGCAATTCTGTAACATTCTTACATCTCATCATATATCATCACATTTCATGACAAACTTTATTTGATGACTCTTAGCTGAATGGCGGCTATATATTCACAGTGAATTTCTGGAAAACAATTATATTTTTATTTAACCCATTTATTGCATTTTTTAAAACAACAACAACGGGTCTATGTCCCACCAAAACAGCCCAAGGGAGTTCCCTCTTCTGCTTTTGCAACATGTTTCTAATTACAAGCAATTGCTAGGTAGTAAAGCTGCTTCTGTTACTTTAATTTCTTATCAGCCTTTATGATTCTTAAGTGGTATTATAGGAGTCTTGCCATTTAAATCTAACCATGCATGTGATACATGAGTATTCTTTAATGAAATGCTAATGCTTTAAAGTAATGCTTTTCTTTCTCTATACTTTACATTTTTGGGGGCCCAACCAGAAGTGAAGTGAAATGCAACTTTGCATTTAAGGTGCATGCTTTTAAAGAAAAAGAAAAAGCATCAGCTGGGGGCAGTGATAATTAAAGGGATCAGATAGGGAGGGAGATTTTACATTTTCCAGAGCAATCGTAACCCTGAGATCACTGGCTAGAAGGGTCAGAAAGGCGTATTTGCTGCAGAGCCTTCCACTATTCCTGCAGAAAACTCTGCAGTCATGGGTCTACTGATGATCTACCAACAGAACCTCTGGAAAAGATTGGGGAGGGCAGGAGGAAATGGAAGTGCCCCAAACATAAAATGCCTAATTGGCTAATCATAATTCTAAAATGTTATTGGTGGCTATAATGTGCAAATTAACCCCCCTTTTTGGAATATGATGAGTAATTTAGTAAAGAACCCAGTAGATGAAATAGATGTACCATTAAAACACACCACTAAAGTCTGGTTTAGAGAATAGGGATGTAGTTGTTAATTTTTGTTCTGTGCCTCTGGGAAATGCATTCAGCAATCCATACAATGTTTCTGCTTTCTTGTTCCTTCAGCTTTACATAGGCATAGAAGACCCCAAAATGGAACTGGTTGTTGAATGCCAGCACATTCATTTTGACCTGGAGAAAAGAGTGCAAGAAAGAAATATTTTATTAGCGAGGGGAAATAATCAGTTACTTGTACGTTACATCTTTCATTCTCAAGCATTCTAAAGAGTTTTACAAACCTTTTCTTTTACAAGCACTTTTCTCAGTAGGAGCTGGGTCAAAGTGCAGCTATCTTTGGGTTTTTGTGACAATTTAACAGGCCGCAGGAACATTAAAGGAATAGGTTAGGACACGGAAATTAATGTTTCTCTAATGGCTGCAGCGCTGGAAGATTCAGAGCTGCTTTGAATGGAATTTTACCATATGTCTCTATTACTTACAAATGGCTCTGTGGGCATTTTTTCTTTTGAGTTTGCTTCTCCAAAAGGTGGTAGTCATTTTTAGCACCTTGCAGCTTTATAATACTGAAGGACAGGGATGGGGAACCTGTGGCCCTCTAGATTTTAGTGGACTCCAACTTCCATTAGCCCCAGCTAGTATGGTCAACGGTCAGGGATGATGGGTGTCCAGCAGCATCTGGAGGGCTACATATTCCCTCTTCCTGCTTTAGGAAGATGCTGGCTGTTTATTCAGAGTGAGCAATGTCACCTCCTGCAAGTCCATCACCACTTTCTGTCACAGTTGACTCTGAGCAAGTCGAAGAAAAACAAATGTAGCAAAGATAAAGGTTTGAACCAGAGAAAGAGCATCTTACCTCATGTTCAAAAAAAGCATCTTCTAACGTTTTTTCTCCTCCTGTACCACTTCCTACGCATTCAAAGCAAGCTCTGTATTGCTGAAAGTACAAAAAACCACCACTGGTTTTATTTCGCTTACATGTGATATTTCTGTATATTTAAAATTAATCTTTTTTTGTAAATAGGCTCCTTAGGTGCACAACTCTAGAATGCATGGCCAGTGAGTTTCAAGAGTATTTCTTACTCCCCTCACTCATACATTGCCTGAAAGTGACTTTATAGGGGTCAAAGTTCAGTGAAAGAACACATACTTTGCATGCAGAAGGTCTCAGGTTCAGGCCATGACAGCTCCAGGTGGGGCTGGAAAATATTCCTGCCTCAAAACCTAGACTGCCAGAGTGGTGCAGCTAAACCTCATGGACTTACCAAAGGGCAGATTCATATACATAGAAATGTCTGTGTTCTGAGAACTTTTGCTAGGTACCATAACCACAAGGCGACACAGCCTTGTAATTTTTCAAGGGCTGTTCACACCTCCCAGTCACCCACACACAGTGAAACAGAAACCATCCCTATTTAATGTATTTGTTGAAACCTGGCATGGGATTGTCTGCCGTTGTATCCTTATTGCATCATGTTAGGCTATGAGTTTATGTGTAGGCAGTAAGTTACAGAAAATGCAATCTCCTGATTAAAATGAGTTTTTCAAAGCACACAGATTCATTTTTCTTGAGTGACTGACACTACACTAAAGCTTCTCAAACATTGTGCAATTAACCTTCGTAAATCAATTGGACCCAACTATAAAGGTTTCACCGGGTCTCTTTGGCGGTACACACCCTCATCTAAGAGCTGGGCTCTGGCTAGCATGGTCTGGGGACTATTGCACCTTTAATGATTAGCTGCACTGACTTCCTACACAATTTAAGGTGCAGGAGCCTTTCCTCCCCCCCCCCCCGTCAGGCCACCCTAATCCTGGCAACTGGTTGGACCCCACTCACCTCTGGCACCAGCGATGCTGTGAATAGTGGACAGTCCATCTGCTGGGGCAATGAGACTTCATCGCAACCAATCAAGACCCATTCAGAACTAGACAAGATGGAGGCCAGGGATGCCAACTTGAATAAAATATTGGGAGGGGACAGATAAACCCTGCCCCCAGATCCTAGTAATGAAGGTACCAAGTGCTGGTGAAGGTTTATTCCCCCCTCGCCCCACTTTTTATCCCCAAAACAGATCTACAGGGTTGACTGGTCCAGGGCTACTCTGAATTCTTAAAGCTAAAAAGGGGCTTGAACCCATCTCTCCCCAAAGCTTAAGTTTCTAGGCACCTAGGTTTTCACCCAATCCCAGTTTCCTTGCCATCCAGGAACCCTTTTACAAGTTTGTTTACAGGGCTTGTTGTGAAATGACATCCAAACATGGAAAAGAATGAAAGGCAGCAATGCCCATCAACTTTGGAGGGGGGGTCTGGCCCCCTAAAGTATTTTATGGGGGACCCCCGAAAGGACCTGGGCCCTTAGGAGTTGGCGCCTATGACAAGATGATGGATGGTCCCCTCCCTTGGCAATTGCCCCATGTATTTCCCTTAGTGAGGGGCGCTGAGAATCAGCACTCTTCGCTTTGTTTAGAATCTGGCTGAACAAGTACTTAATGCCCTTTCTTTGGTGGTACATGCCATGGAATGTTGTAGACACAGTAAGCTTTTGTTAGGAGCTATTTAGTATTTACATACAGCATAGTAGTCTGCCACGCCCTTCACTTGCTCATAATCTTCTGTTTTGGCAAGTATATCCAAGCCTTCTGGATACAGTTTCCCACATGTTGGATACAGCTTCTGTCTGTCTTCTTTGCTTAATTCAGTGCCAAATGAATTAATGGTGATGATGAAGGCACGCCTGTCTGCTTCAAACTGCATAAGACAAAAACAAACGACAGCTTTCAGCATTTAAAAAATATTTTGTACTCATCTACTATGGAGCACAGGAGGGGTTTGCTGGCGATGGGAGCCTTCTCTCATCCTCCTTACCCCAAACTGCTCTCCTCGTAAGTCTGTGGAAATTGTGGGAAACCATGGAATCACAGGACGCGGGTGGCGCTGTGGGTAAAACCTCAGCGCCTAGGACTTGCCGATCACATGGTCGGCAGTTCGAATCCCCGCGGCGGGGTGCGCTCCCGTTGCTTGGTCCCAGCGCCTGCCAACCTAGCAGTTCGAAAGCACCTCCGGGTGCAAGTAGATAAATAGGGACCGCTTACTAGCGGGAAGGTAAACGGCGTTCTGTGTGCTGCGCTGGCTCGCCAGATGCAGCTTGTCACGCTGGCCACGTGACCCGGAAGTGTCTGCGGACAGCGCTGGCCCCCGGCCTCTAGAGTGAGATGAGCACACAACCCCAGAGTCTGTCAAGACTGGCCCGTACGGGCAGGGGTACCTTTACCTTTATGGAATCACAAGGGGTGATTTGATGTGAAAGGGGATAAAACAACCATGAGGTTGCAGATGTAGTGAGAACAAACTACAGTATTTTGGCCCAGAATTAATGTGCAGCAAATTAATTGAAAGGGAAGCCATATTTTAATGTGGCTGGCAGGATGTTTGAAGCAGGATCAAAAGCATCAAAACTGCATTACTTTCTGGTTTTATTTGTTAGATTCGCTCCCCAAATTATCATAATAGTATACAAAGGCCCAATTGTCAACAGATAATATGCAGTATACCATATATGCATGTAGGTCTGTTTGAAGTCTAAAGCACATTCAACGCACACTTAAAGCACAAGTCTCTCCTAAGGAATCGTGCTGGGCCCATAACCTTGTTGTTGGGATACTGCCAGGGAGATAACGGCCATCTGAGTCCCCAAGCTGGCTGCCGGACGATCCATTGACCTCCCGTAGTCACGCAGTCATGCAGTATCAGCAATTAGCGGCACGAAGCCTTAGAAATAGATTGCCACATTCCTAGGCTGGTGCACACTCTTTCAGCAGAATCCACACAGCAGGAGAGCATATTTACAGTTTATTCAACGTTAGTCAGAACAAAGAAAAGACATGACCGTCTGCTTCAGCGTTCAAGCACAGACAGAGAAAACGAAAGCAATAGCAAACATAAACATCCTGTAACATCCTGTAACAGGAAATATGCAGACTCTGTGACTCACAGCCTGCTCCCTTTTAAGGTGGAACGGAAATATCCTAACAGTTTTCCCATCACAGAAGTACAGTTTCCAACCACCTTAATAAACTACAGTTCCCATGATGCTTTGGGGAAGCTATGTGCTTTAAATGTGCGTTGAATGCACTTTAAATGTATGGCGTGGACCTGCCCACGTGAACAGTGGGATTCATACAGCCTGCTGACTGATTCTCCCATGATCTGCACTGAGTATTTCTTGAACTGCTGAAATATATGAGCTTTTCGTTTTCTGCTTTCAAGCTGTTTCTAAATGTTGTTATCAACTAGCAACAATGAAATATTGTTATGAATGGTATGAAATTGATATAATTGTTCTTATATGTGTCTTCATTGATGATGCTTTTAAATTGCTTTCAGATGTTTTATAAGAAGTAATTCATAAATGGAAAAATAATGGTCATGTACGTTTTGGTGAAATATGTAATGGATCATCTAGTATTTTGATATTTTTCTTTTGCCCTATTCATTTATTTTTAACTATCAAGATATTGTAGACTAATAGCTTGTGATTTTTTTTGATATTGTAATATCAGAAATGTGTGTATTGGTTACGGTGGCAGGCAGGCTTTGTATTTTCTTAGAGCAGCTATTCTCTGTCGGCAGGGGGCAGACTGGAAAACTTTAAAGGCAGCTCTTGTATCACCTTGTAACATGACAAGGTATAGAAGCATTCACAGGTGAATTTTGGAAAGAAAACAAATGTAGCTCAATGTGGAAACAGGACAAATTGACTGAAAAATGTATGCATGCACAAGGAGCATGGGCTAAAGAATGACAGATTCATTCCTAGCCATAATGTTTTCCTTACCTCTAAGAGTGGGCACATTATATCTGCCGTAGTGCCACCTTGGTTTTTGCAGAATGTATAGAACGCTTCGAGGTAAGACTAAAGAATGGGACAGGAAAAAAGTAACATTATATTCAAACCTTCTCTGAATTACTGACAGTCATGACTGGAGCAGTCAGTCAGCCATTTGCGTGTTGAGGTCCCCAAGCCACCCCAAAATAAACACACACTTCACATAGAATTTTGTTTAAGGTTTTTGGCATAATTTTGACCACAACTTTATTAAAATACAAAAAATGTGAGTGGTTGCTTAGGCATTGGTTGCGACTATCTAACCCCGGATGGGGACAGACTGACATTTCGCATGAGAAAGGGGAATACATTTTGGGGATAGCGACGCAGCAGGGAACCTGCCCTCAGCCCTCCCCAAATGTTCCCAGGGGCTCTTGCGTGGCCCTAGCCCCTTGACAGGGTTTGGACAAAAGCAATGGCGAGCCCCTGTATTCCTTTAACAAAATACCCTTGCAGCTGCAGCATTAGAGGGGCAGGCACAGCCAATCCATGCCCCTCAACCAACCAAACCAAAAAACCAATGCCTAACCACAACCTTACAAGTTGTGACAATTTGCTATGAAGTAGGAGAAAACCTACACGCGGGTGGCGCTGTGGGTTAAACCACAGAGCCTAGGACTTGCCGATCAGAAGGTCGGCAGTTTGAATCCCTGCGACATTGCTCAGTCCCTGCTCCTGCCAACCTAGCAGTTTGAAAGCATTTCAAAGTGCAAGTAGATAAATAGGTACCGCTCCGGCGGGAAGGTAAACGGCGTTTCCGTGTGCTGCTCTGGTTCGCCAGAAGCGGCTTAGTCATGCTGACCACATGACTCGGAAGCTGTACGCCGGCTCCCTCGGCCAATAAAGCGAGATGAGCGCCGCAACCCCAGAGTCGGCCATGGCTGGACCTAATGGTCAGGGGTCCCTTTACCTTTACTAAGCGAAAACCAAATGGCACCAGCCAATCAGCCTAATGGACAAAATTCCTATCAGGCCCCTGCCCCAAGAGTAGATGACCCCATGACAGGCATAGCAAGGTCAACACGAACAGCCCTAAATATAGGGAGGGAGGGCGGGCAATCCAATGCACACAGCGAAAAGAAGCAGCTCAACGCTGCGTGCAGGGAGTTTTAAGATTTCTGGCTGTCTTTCACAAATGGCAACATTAACTTCTCCCCAACAACAAGGGAACCCAATCACAACAATGGCCAACGACTTCTTAGCCCACCCAACAACAATGGGGTGTCTTGCCAGCCCCCACTGCCACACATGCTCTCCATGAAGGAGAACACGCTTTCCCTTACTTATTATGTTCAACCAGCCATTATGGGAAGTACAAAACATTTAAAAACTAACAGGTGTGAGACAGGTTAGTTTTCTCCTACTGATGTTGTGTTGCTGCAATAGTAACCACCTTTGGTAGGAGAGGAACCGGACTGTTGGCAATAACGTTTAGCAGAAGCGATGTTTTTATTTATTTAGAATGCACAAGTAAATATGAACATTGTCATATCTGTTCATTGCAGTAGGAAAGCCTAGAGGACCTTGGCCTTTACTAAATAAGTGCAGTTAGCTGATTTGCACATACACTACTACTGTAGGTTGTTAGTGTTCATGTAATGGCACAAAGGCGAATTCCCATGCACATTTACTAGAAAGCAGGTTCCTTGAACTCCATCCTGCCTAATATACAGTACCTCAACGTTTACCATTCCCCCGAGACACCCGTCTGTTTATATACACCTGTAAGTCAAGAGAACATTTCGTGCAGCTGTTGAAGTGGAAAATAGTTCATGGAAGCTTATGCCATAATAATGTGAAAAGTCTTTAAGGTTCCACAAGACTCTTTGTTCTTTTTTCTGCAAGAGACTATTATGGCTACCCCTCCAGAAACAGTGGCTGCTTGGAGATCTGATCACAAGGGGGGAAATGTGAAAGTTTCATTCATGACAGTGAAACCCAGATTCCAGGAAGCAGAAAACACTTGCTCTTCCTGCTCCCTCCGAATTACCCTTAGAGTTGAACTTGTCCAAATTCTACACATTCAATATGTTACATCCTGCTCTCAAATTAGGGTGGCTTGGCATTTTATAGGAAGTGCCAAGAACTGGAAGTTGGCTCTCTTGTCACTTGCACATTTGCTTTTGCTGTTTCCTGCAGCATGCAAATTCATTTCAGGGAACGACAGAGGGTGCAATGAGCATTACATCAATACCAGGGTTAATTTCCCCCATTTCTTGAGAGTACACTATTTAAATCCCACCTATTCTCCAAAGTTCTCAAGACCACTTATTTTCATGGCTGTAGATTGTACCTATCCCCCCAATTTACTTTTTCACAGCTGGCGCTGAAAGCATTTACCTTATACAGTTTGTTGCGCATGATTTCAATGTTCATTTCATCCAGATCGTTTTCAGATATGCAGTCTTGAAAGAAATCAGCTGAAAAGCAGACATGTTTAAATTATAAAGGCAAGCTGTAGAGAAGCATAAGAAGCCCACTTATCAGTTTTAACAATTTTTTTATGCTCAATGACTGACTTTCTACTGCCCTGCAAAAAATAATATAGAAGGAAGGAGAGGAAGTAAATGTTTTCAACATCCCTGATGTGGTGTATATATAATACAGCTTTGCAATAGGATTCTGCTTTGAAGATAATGGGGTTGCTAATCCAAATCTCCACCAGGTGTCTCGTAGGAAATGCTAGCATAAAATTTGGTCTACTCTCTGACCTAGCAGTCAGTGTTGCTTTGGGTTGCCTAGATAAAGTGACTAACAAATTTAATAACTAATAAAAATAAATAGATGATCGATGGGAAGACTATTCTACTCTCTGTATATATATTATATCACCCACTCTGATACATTTATTTGTTTGTTTTGTTATAATTTTGATTCTAAATGCTAATTTATTTCTTTTAAGAATATTGGAGAGAAAAATCACCGAGAGTGCCTGGTCCCATTCATGCAACGAATTTTTACTTATTATGACAGCTCTCTAAAGCTTTCCTACAGGGCAGAGCCGACCCACCCAAGAGGCAAGGTGAGGTGGCTGCCTCAGGCATCACCCCCCCGGATCGTCACCCCCATTCTGCTGCCCAGCTTTGCTGCTGGTCTCCCCAGCCTCTAGAGACAGAGAAGGACCAGCAGCAACGCTTCAGCTCCTGAAGCTAAGATGATATGGCTGTCAGTAGTGCCTAAGTGCAAAGTGGCCTGAGAACCCCTCGAAGCTCTTCAGAGGAGGGTTTCAGACTGGGGACATTTCCAGCCCTACCTAGAGATGCCAGGAATTGAATTTGGGACCTTCTTCATGCAGGGCAAAAATTCTGCCATTTCTGTGGTCTTTGCCCTAAGACAACTGGCTGCCTTCATTTTAATGGGCCACAAGTACTGCAGACTAGATGCAGAGAGCAAGTGCTGCCATGATAGAAAACAATCTCATCTGAAGGTCCACACACAACACACACACACCCAAAATTGTGAACAGTCATACCTAGGGGTGTATCCACCAAAATTGCATTGAATAACTCTGCAGGGTTTGGAGCAATGCTGACAGCTTCCATTTGCTCAAAATTGCCCAACGGATGGCACTTGGGAACCAGCTCTTCCAAGGGCCGCTGACGGAGTGTGCCAGTAATGAGCAGGATCACGTTGTCAATCATATAGCTGTACCTAGTGAGAGAAAACAACATTCATCAAAATACTATGTTCTTCCTCAGGGAGAAAACTGCTTTAAAAAAGCCAAACACCAAGCCACATTTTGCAAATATAAAGGTTAAAATAGCCAGGGCTCTGCAGAAAAGGTGTGATCACTCTTTATCAGCTGTGGCAATGTGGCAACAAGGAATTCCTGTAACCAGAACGCTACATTAGACAGTCCCTAATCTAACCAGGCTTGCACAGAATCACTGCAATCAAATGCAAAATTCAATAACTTAGAATTTAATGCCCGGAGCCACTTTTTATCAGGAAATGGGCTTATTGTCCAAATGTGTTGTGGCCAATTGTCAATTTAAGTAGAGTCCTGTTTGATAGTGTGGAAAGAAACCATGCACATACGTTTGTACACGTAGGGTTTCATGGAACCTTATTATGAATGAGCACATGAAGATCAGTCACACCTGATCCTGCCTCCCAGTGCATTCCTTTAACCCAGGCTTCCTGAACCTGGCACATTCCAGACTACAACTCCCATAAATCCCAGCCAGCGCAGACAATGGTCAGGAATGATGGGGGTTGTAGTCTTGGACATATGAAGGGCACTGGGTTATGGAAGGCTGCTCTAATGTCAAACAGGAAGCCTCTGGTGAGATGGACTTGTAAGGAAACATGGCACTGACTTCTACCAGAAAGTCACAACCACAGCCCAAACTTGACAGAGGAAATTTAGAGGGATACTTGCCTTTTATTGTGTGAAAATCACAGGACCGGGAGGGTGGTCCACTGGCAGCATCACAGCTCACGCACCATGGCTGCAGGCTACCATTCCTTGCATAGACTTTTAAGCAACTAGGAAGACTTAATGAATTCAATCACAAAATCCACCCAAACAGCCTGATGTTAAGAAATCAATGTTAATTAGGTTGCCAAGTAAAAAAATAAACCTTGCTTCAAAGGGAGTTGGGAAATTTAATATTACAATGCTGCCAAAATGAATTAAAAGATAAACGTCTGGGCATCTGCCATAAGAATTTACTGCAGGCCAGAAGAAGCATTACTAATGAATACAATGACTACATAAGTAGGCCTTGGATCTACTTATTGAAGTCCATCCTAAATGCATTACTGGGGATGCATGGAGCTTACTCCTGAGTAATCAGATTGTACTGTAAGTTTTCTGATTAAGCTGCCGTTACTGAACAGAGTCTAGGCCTAGCATAAGATGCACACTTCAGAAAACAATCCACCAAACATTGCTTCTGTGTAACACTCATTCATTTCAATGGGGCTTGAACAAAGTGACCTTGCAAAGTTTATTTCCAATGGAAACTAATTCAGGTTGCAATACGTCATGGTACCCATAAAATCCAGAAAATGTGGCAGTAAGTTTGTACATAACTATTCCATTAAAATGGGCTAAAAAACAGATGCATGAGACTAGAATTGATTTATTACCACATTTATATCCCACTTATTTCTCCAAGAAGTTCAAGGTGGTGTACATGGTTCTAACTCTCCTCATTTAATCCCCTTAACAACCCTGTGAGGTAGGGCAGGCCAAGAGGCAGTGACTGGCCCAAAGTCACCCAGTGAGCTTCCTGGCTGAGTGCGGATTCAAATCCTGGTCCCCCAGATCCTAGTTTGATACTCTAATGACTAGACCACACTGGCTTTTAATACTCTGACTTTATGGGCCTTTAGTCATTGTTTATTAGTTGCTCACATCATGAAATTACTAATTTTACTTACGTAATATAGTTTAGGAATGTGGAAAGTGGCTCGAAGGCATGATTTCTGAAATAGTGAAATTCTGCCAATAGCTTGGCCTTTAGTTTGTCGTCGATGATAGAAACCGTGAGAGAGCCTGTTTCGTTGGCTAAGAAGTTTCCGTAGTCTGTGGTCTGCAATTGTAACTTCAGGTCTGGAATAGAATTTAAAAAGATTTGTTTTCTACAAAGAAACCAAGGAGGTTAAAGAGACAGTATCGCTTTTTATTTTTAATTCATACTTCTCTTTCGTTTCCTTTTCTACACCTGGTGGCTGGGTTCAGATGTAGCACAACCCCATGGTTTGCTTTAAGGTCTGAACCCACCCCAAACCACACTCACTGTGGAGCTGACAAGCCAGGATCTGAAATCAGGGTTGGAAGCTGACTTGTAAACCGCAGTTTGCACTGAGTGTGACTTCCAGTATGGTGTAGTGGTTAAGAGCGGTGGACTCGTAATCTGGTGAACCAGGTTCGGGTCTCCGCTCCTCCACATGCAGCTGCTGGGTGACCTTGGGCCAGTCACACTTCTCTGATGTCTCTCAGCCCCACTCACCTCACAGAGTGTTTGTTGTGGGGGAGGAAGGGAAAGGAGATTGTTTGCCGCTTTGAGACTCCTTCGGGTAGTGATAAAGCTTGATATCAATCCAAACTCTTCTTCTTCTTCCGCCTATTATGTACAGATTCAGACATTGCACATAGATGTCCAAGATTGCTGTGTGATGGGAATCTCTCCCTTTTCTCTTTTTTTTTTTGGGCTACTCTTTCACTCTCCATTCTCTGAGCGGTAGGAATCTCATAACAATTTTAACAGGGTTGTTTCAAGGTGAAAGGCCAAGTGCATCTGGGTCCTTGTTTTTGTTTGCAATTGTACAGGTCAAGCAGGTATTACAGTCACATAGGAAGATCTAGTTCTGATGCAGCACATTAGTCTAGCTCGTAGACATAAAAACCAGAAAGCAAACTGCCCTAAAGCCTCTATAATAATGATAAAACTTGATCATGCCTTTAAAATGTACTTCATAGAATCATAGAACTGGAAGGGACCGCAAGGGTCACCTAGTCCAGCTGCTTGCAATGCAGGAATCTCAACACACAGTCCCTCATCCAGTTTGAAACCATACCAGACCCTGCTTAGCTTTGCAACTGTGCTAGCAGTTTTATTGCTGCGCCACTATCACCCTTCATCAAAATGTTCCCAGTTTGGGTACATAAATGTGAAAAAAATTAACTCACACAACATAGAAATACAATTTAAAACAAAGAAGCATAATGAAGCATAGCAAGGTAAAACCTAAAACCTACTGGCTCCCAGTACGTTTCCAAGCACAATTCAGAGTGTTGGTGCTGACCTTTAAATCCCTAAATGGCCTCAGTCCAGTATATCTGAAGGAGCGTCTCCTCCCCCATTGTTCAACCCGGACACTGAGGTCCAGCACCAAGGGCCTTCTGGCGGTTCCCACACAGCAAGAAGCCAAGTTACAGGGAACCAGGCAGAGGGCTTTCTCAGTAGTGGCGCCCACTCTGTGGAATGCCCTCCCACCAGATGTCAAAGAAATAAACAACTACACCATGTTTTTTCATCTATAAGGTGCCCCCATGTATAAAACAAGTCCTATTTTTTGAGCCCCAAATTAATAAATAAATATTTTAAACATTCTGTGTATAAGACGACCCCCAATTTTAAACTTTAAATATTGGGGGGGATATAGTCTTATACACAGAAAAATATGGTATCTGACATTTAGAAGACATCTGAAGCCAGCCCTGTTTAGGGAAGTTTTTAATATTTGATGTTTTATCGTGTTTTTAATATTATTTTGGGAGCTGCCCAGAGTGGCTGGGAAAACTCAGCCAGGTGGGTGGGGTAAAATAATAAATTATTATTATTATTAAAAGCTAAAAAGAGAAAACCATTCCAAAATTTGTTTTAATATTGTTATCAGTTTGTGGGTCCCAGACCTTTTAAACCCCAGATCCAGAAAGTAATAAAATATAAGCCACACTAGGGGTGATGAGCCGTTAGGATGGGGGTTATTGTTTTGTTTTTTGTTCTGGTTCTTAATCATGTATTTTGTGCTTTTCTATTGTGTTTTTAGGGATGCGGGTGGCGCTGTGGGTAAAACCTCAGTGCCTAGGACTTGCCGATCGCATGGTCGGCGGTTCGAATCCCCGCAGCGGGGTGCGCTCCCGTCGTTCGGTCCCAGCGCCTGCCAACCTAGCAGTTCGAAAGCACCCCCGGGTGCAAGTAGATAAATAGGGACCGCTTACTAGCGGGAAGGTAAACGGCGTTCCGTGTGCTGCGCTGGCTCGCCAGATGCAGCTTTGTCATGCTGGCCACGTGACCCGGAAGTGTCTGCGGACAGCGCTGGCTCCCGGCCTATAGAGTGAGATGAGCGCACAACCCTAGAGTCTGGCAAGACTGGCCCGTACGGGCAGGGGTACCTTTACCTTTACCTTATTGTGTTTTGATGTTGTGAACCGCCCTGAGATCTGCAGATGAAGGGCGGTATACAAATGTAATAAAATCATAAGGAAAGGAAAGGTGATGGGACATTAAGAGAACCAAGGAAAGGGTGCCCTGTGTCAGGTGGCAAATGGGTGGGACCCCTGCTCCAGCTCTCAGGTAGCTAGTAGGACGCAGCAGGAGTTTGAGGACAGAGTTTGCTGTGATGTGACATAGAGGAGGAAGCTGCAGGCTGGAAAAGCAGATAAAAGGCCATGGCTGATTCTGGCTTGAATCCAAGGTGGTGGCTATTGGAGAAACAAGACCCTTTTGGGGTTTTAATACTGTGGACCACTCCATTGTATGCTTAGGTTGTATATATGTGTAAATAAGCCATATATCATAAAGACACTACCGTATTTTTCGCTCTATAAGACGCACATTTTCCCCTCCAAAAATTAAGGGGAAATGTGTGTGCGTCTTATGGAGCGAATGCAGGCTCTTTGGCTTCAGCGATAGCAACGCGAAGCCTCCAAAGCGCAGTGGGAGCGCTCCCGCCGCACTCCGGAGGCTTCGGGTTCCTTTCGCTGAAGGGTAGATGCCCCTTCAGCTAAGCGGGAGGAGAAATGGAAGGAGCGCCGTTTCTCCTGCCGCTTCACTGAAGGGGCACTGCGCAGAGAGGGGGAGATTTTTTTTTCTTGTTCTCCCCCTCTAAAACAAGGTGCGTCCTATGGTCGAGTGCGTCCTATAGAGCGAAAAATACGGTACATATCTCCACTGTGCCTCATTTCCAAAAGGAAACAGGAATCCTAGGTAAGCACCTGGAACCCCAGGAATTTCACACTGCTTGGAGATTAGGTGACATGCAACAGTATATATGTTGCATATAAGACATATATGTCTTAAGTATATTATATTGGGTTTTATTAACACTCACCAGGAGAAGTGAATACACATAAAGGTCTCTCATGACATAAATGCAATTCACACCAATGGAAGCAACTATTATAATCTCATGCAAGCTTTGTATTTTATCTGTTTCAGTAAGGAACAAATTTAGCCCCAGCCCCAGTTGTGTCCCTATCCAGATCCATTTACGCTCTCCCCTCTATGGGGGGAAGCAAAGCAAAGAGCTTCACTGTTGCAGAATGTCAATAGTCACCACCCACTGATGAAACTGAGTCCCCTTCTCCACCAGGAATTCTGAAGGATGATGCACTCATTGTGTGTGATTTTACTAGTCACTTGATTATTATTTTTAAAAAAGAAAAAACCACTTCAACTGACTGTGTGAACTGGGTCATCGTCTGCTAGTTCCTACTGCAGAATGTACAATGATTTCCCTGTACAAAATCTGGGAATGGAAATTTGGCAAAGAGGAAAAGATAGATCAGAGTATCTGATACCAAAGCATCTCTCCATAACAAACTCCCTTTAGAAGTTGCACAGAAGGACAGACTCTGAGCTTTGGATCATTTAAATGCTTTTGAAGCTTCTGTGCACTCGGTTTAACTAATTATACAAGTTCACATCAGCATGTACCTGTGCGGCTTCTGTTTTTTCTGCCTTAGACTGAAGCCTGCCAGTAAAAGCTAATGAAGGGTTGCATGTTAAACAAAGTGCTGCAGAATTTAAAAACAAGGCTCTGTTGGTAAAACATTGTGCGGATGAAACCCTTACAAGCAACAAAGGGATGGAGTCAAATAACCCAAGGCACCCAGCATTCTGCTGTCTCATTACTCTTTTCCATGCAGAAAAAGGGCATGGATGAAACTGTAGCCACAGAAGACAGATGACTCGGAGGTGATTCACGCACCATAACCTGTCCTCACAAATGCAGAGAAATCAATGCACACCGGATATCTGTAATGACCTCCACACATGTTCATTTTACTTCAGTATGAGCTTGTTTGCACCAGAAACAGAATGTAATTTGTAGTGTGCAAAGAAAATTGGACTGCTGAGAGATTCAGGTTAAAATGCCTGCTTGGCCCTAAAGGTCAGTGACTTTGTGTCAAGATAGGCAAATATGTCGTTTTTTGTTTCTCTAAGTTTTTCATTGATCCACTCTTAAGTTTAGTTCTCCACATTTCAACATTCATTTGCAAAAAAAAATTAAAGTCCTCATGAAAATTCACAGTGTATTTTTGTGAAATATTGCCTAATATATGCAATTTACAGAGCAATTTCCCCTAATACAGGGTTTCCCAAACTAAGGTCCGCAGACCAACAGTGGTCCATGAGCTTCATTCAGGTGGTCTGTGAAGAACACTTACAATTTGAATTCTATGGAATTCAAACAGTAATACAATAAATCACAATATAAGAAATAAAGGAACCATTAAAAGTTCAATTAAAATTCATACAGCGTCTTGCAGAGCGCATCACAATTGCTACAACAGGCAACAGGAAAATTGTGAAATGGTCCGCCAAGACCCTCAGAAATTTTCATAGCGAATAGTGCGTGAAAAGAAGTTGGGGAACTGTTACCTTATATCATGCATTTCTGTATGTTATTTTCACTAATCTGTGCATACTTTACCACAGACCTTTCCCAATGTTCATGTTGGTGACACACTTTTTAGACAAGCATTATTTCGCAACACAGTAATTCAGTTTTACTAGCAAACCAGAGGTTAAACTAACCCCTTTCCAGCCCCGGGAGGAGCGTGGGGAGCAGTCACATGACACACCTACATGCTGCAGCCAAGACTAATGTGTCACGACACACAGTTTGGAAAGCAATGCTTTACGGTAATGTATGAAAAACATATTGCAAAATTCAGAGAAGTGCAGTTTTCAAAGGTTGACTGTGTTTTAGTTGGCATATTGCAGGCATGTCCAAAGTCTGTTTTGGGGGCCTAATTTGGCCCGCTGGTCGGTTTAATCCAGCCCCTGTGGCAGTTTATCTCCTGGGGTAAAATCCTAAAAAAACCCTCAACAACTTCAACCCTTAAAAAGCTCAACAACTTTATGGTAAAATCATTACAAAAGAAGCTCAACAACTTCAATCCTAAAAAAAGGTTAACAACTGTGGTTGGCCCTTTAGTCAGCCCTTGTGGCCCTTCACTTCATCAAGTCTAGCTCTCTTTGAAAAAAGTTTGGACACCACTGACATACTGTTCCAGAAAGTACAAATTAGGTAGGTTTAAATGCAAACTGAATTGACGTTCCCCTCCATCCCTAGTTGCTGGTATCTTTCATCCTAATTTACCTCTTGCCTTCATGAGCATCTTGTCAGAGCTTATCCCCCTCTTCACATTACTGCTGGATGTGCAGCAGAGAAAGGTTGTCTTGCCCCACACCTGCGTCATCATCAGAGGCTGCTACTGGTAACAAGAAGGAATGACCCGCCACAGATTGCATTGGCTCACTAGCAATAACTGCAAAGGTGGCCACATTTTTAAAGCTGGTTTGCTCACCTGAATCACCACTGGATTGCTCTGCTATTACCAGGACCAGGTCACATATTAAACTGCACCGTAATATAGCTTTGGGAAGTGTTAGGTGTAACACTCATGATCATGTTACGATGTGATGAGAGACCAAATGATAAAAACCCAGCACATAACAGCCTCCCCCAACCCAGTGAGCTCCAGTTAGACACCAGTTCCCACCATTCCCAGCCACTTGCTGAACTGGTTGGGACTGATAGGAGAACATCTGCAGGGCACCAGGCTGGGGAAAGCGATCATAGAACCGTAAGGACCAACGAGCGTCAACAACACCCACCCTGTGTTTCAAAGATTTCTCAATGAGAAGCTGTTTTATACCAAGAGGCTGGGAGCAAGTAGTCCTGCCACCCAGGACATGGGTGGCATAGCTAAAGCAGGAAGGAAGCTAAGGGGAAACAAAGTGAGGAGCAGGCAAACAGATCGGGAAGAATTTAGGGAGAGTCTCAGAAAAGCAAGGCAGAAGAAACTTTATATAAAAAAGAGCCAAGAAGAAATAAAGGCAGAACTGTGCAGCCTGCCAGCAGCCTTTTCTCAATTCCTTATATATGGGCTGCTTTGAGGTCTGAGCCAAAGGAAACTCAAGTGGCCTCAGGTGGGCTTATCCTCCAAATCTGGGCAGGGCTGAGGAGCAATTTCTGACGAAGATCAGCCCAAGGGAGGAGAGCATTTTATGGAATTAATGCATTAGAGTCCCCTTTTTAATATGGGTGGTACTCCTCACTACATGCGTTTCTCCCTGTTCCTGAAGGCAAAATACTGAAAAGTAGCAATGTTAAGACACGATGGAACCTAATGCCCAATTATGGAAGCATGCAAAACATGTGTTTGCCAGACAGGGATGTCCATGATACACAGTGGGATTTACTTCTCAGCGGATATCAATCAATCAATCAATCAATCAATCAATCAATCAAACCTTTATTGCATTAGCATACAGCCATAGCAGGATAAGACAAAAATGCTAGAGACAAGCAACCAAACAAAATTCTCAGCGGATATGTTTAGTGTGGGACTTCAGTGTCTTCTAGGATGGCACTGAGTGATTCCAGCACAAAATTGTCTACTTATCCATCAAAAATGCTGTTAAGACAAATTATTAGTAGTCTTGTTTATTTCAGTTCTGACGTAACGTGGTTATGAATTAGGCTGCAAGTATAAAAGAATATTGGTTTATTTGTATAGCCCAACTGGTAACAGCAGCTGTATTTTAATACTTTATTGATATGCTAGCGTTACACATTCCCAACAAACTCAATGTCATTTCAGTTGACCTAAGGTACAGTATATATATGATTTCTGCCTTCATCCCAATATGAATTCCAGTTGACCTTTTGAAGGACAATCCCATTTTTTGTTTTGTTTCAGTAACATTTAAAAAGAAAAACACATTTCAACAAATGTTAGTTGATCAAATACCATTCCCCTCCCAGCAGAGCTACAGAGGCTGCTGTGATACTTTCAAATGTCACGAGACTGAGATTTCGTTTGACTCCTACTCACCTTCCAGTGTTTCGCACTGTGCTAAGTTGACATAGTCAGAAGCCGTCAAGATGCCACATTTGAAGCCTCGGACCAGGCCCTCGAGATACCCATGATCCACATTGAAGAAAAACTCTGAATAGCCCGGCATAGTGGAAAAGAGGGTCTGATTCCTCTCTATGCTTAAAATAGTACCGAGTCTTGTGTCTGCCTCCAGAAGAAGATAGCAAGCGGTCACTAGCCTTGGCTGGACTTTAATTCGCTTCTCCTTCCTGTTTCATTGTTTCCAGTACAACATCATTGCGCTCTGCATAGTGCTTACACAACATAAGCTCAGCAGGCAGACACAAACTAACTCTTTCCTATTAGTAACGAAGCTACTCTGGGTGTAAAGGACAACATAAGAGCAAGGGCAGGAGGAGAACAGAATGTGAGTTGGAATGGAAAACATATCCTTAAAATATTGAAGAATACATGCATGCTCCTCGAAAACATTAAATCATCGCCTTTTAAACTGCTTTCAAAGAGACGTATGCTCTGAAAGTGCAACAGCCAATTTCAGAGCAATTGTGCTTGAATTTGAAATTAAAGGTATTATTTTGGTTTGAAGGAGAGTGATTGGATCTCCAGTTTCTATAAACTATAAAGCAGTTTTGGGAGGGCCACAATTTGGGGGGTGGGGGAGAAAAAGAGGTGATTAACCCTTTCCTCCCTGCTCTGTTTTCCTGATGAATCCCCACTCCGACATGCCTATTCCCCTTCTGGTGGGCAAAGATTTTTCAAAGATTGCAGCTTTGGAATACATCGTTTTAAAAACTGCACAAGTGAAACAGGTAACCACATTCCCTCTGCCCCATAAGTGCCACTTCTCCCACTAACTGATTTTTGCAGAAAAGATCCAATCATATCTGACATCTAATTTTCGTCTGCCATATCCTGACCCCGCTGTACCATTAACCAACCTGGCAAGTGGGGCATTTTATTTTCTGCATGGCTGCAAATGGTTACATTTAGCCACTAGGAGTCTCCCTAACCCTGTGACTAAATGTTCCTCCCTGTGCGCTTCACCAGTTACAAGTATATTATACCAACAGGAAACAAAAATCTAATTTTTAAAGCTGCGTTGTTCCTAGCCGGTAAGCGACATTTATTTCATTATAGTGATTTTTGCCCGGGGAAGCTGAGATTGCTACAGAGCGGCTGACAAAAGAATCAGCAACCAGGAGTTTCTGAGTCTCTAGTACTTCCCCCTCTCAATATACATGTGAATTTGAATCATAAGAGGAAAGTGGGGAAAAATCTTTTGTCACTTAACACCGAAACCATACATCTTATGGATATTTATTTAGAAATGTATATTTTGCCGAATAATAGTAATTCCATTTTGTGGCACTAATCCATACCCTCCAACATCTCTCCGATGAAAACGGGGACATAATGTGTTTTACATAAAATCGCTTTAAAGTTCTTACTGCATTTAAGCTTCCAGTACCACCTGGTTCACCTGCCATGCTAAGCCAAACCATGGCTTAGTACAACTGTGGCTGCAGCCCCAGATGTAGCCAGTTTGCTCAGCCCTGGTCATTTTGCTGCTCCAGCATGCTGAGCTTAGCAGTAGCTTCGCATGTCGACTGAACCAGGGCTCGTGGTTTAGCTCTCCCAGACAAACCATAAACTGTAAATCATAGCCCAGATCCTGGTTAGAGCTCCTGGTTAGTCTGGAGAGAAACAAAACCATGACATTAAGCCCAACCATGGCTTGGCTTAGCATGACGCAATACCAAAATGACTGCGTCGGAGTGAAGCAGCTGCAATCTCCTCTCTGTGAACCCACACATTTGCTCTGTGCCATAGTTATGGCTTATTGTGATGTGCAAACCAGTTCTGCCAAAATACAGTGGGTTCTTTCTGTTGTACTGTTTTGAAAGTATATCTTTCTACGTATAATGACTGAAACCGCATCCGTTCCCTAAGTAGTGGTGCAAAGAGTTAATACGCAGGGGTGACTTATTTTTATGGATGACATGTTCATGTTCCACCTCTCCTCCAAGGAGCTCAAGGCGGTGGATGTGGTTCCTCTTGCTCCCCATTTTATCCTCATAACAACCCTGTGAGGTAGGTTGGACGGAGAGTGAGTGACTGGCCCAAGACCACCTAGCAAGCTTCCTGGCTGAGTGGGGATTTGAACTCTGGTGTCCCAGGCCCTAGTCCAGCGCTCTAACCACTAGGTAAAAAGGTAAAGGACTCCTGGGGGGTCTAGTCAAAGGTGACTATGGGGTTGCTGCACTCATCTTGCTTTCAGGCCGAGGGAGCCGGCATTTGTCCACAGACAGCTTTCTGGGTCATGTAGCCAGCATGACTAAACGGCTACTGGTGCAACGGAACACCATGACAGAAACCAGAGTGCACAGAAAGGCCATTTACCTTCCCACCACAGTGATACCTATTTATCTACTTGCACTGGTGTGCTATCGAACTGCTAGGTTGGCAGGAGCTGGGACAGAGCAACAGGAGCTCACCCCATTGCACGGATTCGATCCGCCAACCTTCTGATCGGCAAGCCCAAGCTACACAACACTGGTTCTGGACTGGTCCTGCCATGCAAAGGGTGCAGTGACTTATCTATAAAAGTATTTATATACCAGCTATTCACATAACATATCAAGACACTGCACCTCATAAAATCACAAAAATGACCGGCTTATCCAAAAAGGAAAGGAAAGGAAATTCGACAACTGAGTAGGCCTGTCAGTATATATAAAAAGGTCTTCAAGAGACACCTGAAGGTCACTCAGATGGAAGAGCATTCCACAGCTTGGGACAGGAGACACTAAATGTCTGACTTCTTGCTGAAGCCAGTTGGGCTTTTGACACATGGGGGACATTGCTCCTTTGGATTATCTCTGTCATTGAGCTGGGCTGCAAGGGCTGAGGAGGTCCTGAAAGAACATTTCCCCCTCAAAGAATTCTGGGTAGTGTAGTTTACCCTTCACAGAGTCACAATTCCCAGCAACCCCTTAACAAACTATAGTCAAGATTATTTCTATCTTGTATTACTGAGAAAAGTATTGAGAAAAGTATTGGGGAAAATACCTGTGAAAGAAGTGGGACAATTCTGAAATAAAATGTTTTGAAGATGAGAGACACAAAAGGCATTGCAGTCGCTCAAGCAAATAATTTGCTTATATCCCACGAGGAAGGTCATTTTAACAAACACTTCCAGAAGAAGATAATTGAGTGTATTTTTAGAGACTTTAAAATAGGTTAGTTAAGCTGTACCTGAGGATTGCCAGTGAAGCAGTTCTAATCAGCTCTAGCAATTATGCTATTTTATGCAAGAAAATATTCTTGATTAATACTACTGCGATTTAATCGTACATCCATAGCATTGTGGAGGTATCTAACAAGGGACTTTGTATCCATAGGCAAAGCTTATCTTCTGAGAAAATATTAAATTACTTGACAGGAAATGGAAGGAAGCAATGTCCTTAAAGAAATAATGTGCTTTCTTCTTTGATTTTTAAAAAATCCAATCAGTATTGCAATGATACCATCTTGATTCATGTTATCAGGATCTAAAATCCAATTGTAAAAATGGAAAGAAGAATTTATCTTAAACTCTAAGAAGGACTGCTAATGCACACTGACAGTGTAATGCTATATATGCTTACTCAGAAGCAAGCCCACCTGACTTAATGAGACTAACTCCCAGGTAAGTAGGATTGCAGGGACGCGGGTGGGTAAAAGCCTCAGCGCCTAGGGCTTGCTGATCGAAAGGTCGGCGGTTCGAATCCCCGCGGCGGGGTGTGCTCCCGTTGTTCGGTCCCAGCGCCTGCCAACCTAGCAGTTTGAAAGCACCCCCGGGTGCAAGTAGATAAATAGGGACCGCTTTCTAGCGGGAAGGTAAACGGTGTTTCCGTGTGCAGCTCTGGCTCACCAGAGCAGCGATGTCACGCTGGCCACGTGACCCGGAAGTGTCTCCGGACAGCGCTGGCCCCCGGCCTCTTGAGTGAGATGGGCGCACAATCCTAGAGTCTGTCAAGACTGGCCCGTACGGGCAGGGGTACCTTTACCTTTACCTTAAGTAGGATTGCAGTCCCCAAAATCTCATGTTATATTTGTTGTATTGAGAAGTTTAGGGCTGAATTTTTTCACCTGTCTAGCAGCTTTATATCGCAGGAGGAAATTGTGCACATACAGAAGTTCGCAAGCCATTAAGGAGACTCTACTTAGGGCTAAATTAGATGATATGTCTGGCATTGCACAACTTGTTAACCAATAACCAGCACAGGGAAGCCTAAACCAGATCCATATCATGATGGACAGGAAATTTTAACCCTTTGCCCCCTGCTGTAGTTCCAGTCTGGATCAGAGCTCACACTGGCCAGTTTCACTGTGGTGGAAAAATTTGAATGGGTGTCACCTCAAGTTTGGCTCTCAGGCATCCCAGATGGGACTCTTTCCAAAATGGCCTTGGAGCACAAGTCTGCTAGGAGGCCATAGCACAGAGCCTAGATGCTGCAGCATACGACAAAATCTCATCCTCTTCAGTGGTAAAACCCAATAACCCCAAATACATTTTGGTTTATTCAAATTCAGTTTACTATGTAGGAATCCCAATGCTGCTTCTGCGCAGAGCAGAGCTAAAGAAAAGCCATACCACATAAAAACAGCTGGTTTTCCAACTAGGGAAGGACATACCTTTGTATGCAGTTTTGCCCAACGTACACACTTTTTTTTTGCAAAAACAATTTCCCCTAACATGCATTTTTGCATGTTATTTCTCCCTGCCATGTTGCGTTTTATCAGAGCCCACCTGCCCATGAGCCTTGGTGAGGCAGTCGTCTCAGGCGGAGGGCTGGGGACAGCCAGGAGGGACAGCAGATCTAGGCCCCCGAGGAGCATGCTGCTCATTGCCTCCTGCACTAGTTTGCACATGGCCATTGCCTAAGAAGAGCAGGGCCACTGCTGCTACCACCTGCCCCTCCCCAGGTTCCCTGTTTCCTTCCCCAGGCTGCCTCCAGTCACCTCAGGTGGTGATGGAGGAGGAGGCAGGGGGCACCATTATCTGTTTTGCCTCAAGCGTCAAAACCTTTTGGACTGGCCCACACATTACTGGGCTGGACAACTGCTCTGCGACATAAATTCCCAAGGGAATTTTGCACATTTTTTCTCAATGTGTAGATTAGATAGGCTCACCTCTAAATGCCAACTGAGTTGAATTTCTCTCCCCTTGCTAGCAGTATAAATGACCATGTGGGCAGATCAGACAAATTTAGAAATAAGGGGTGGTTTTGCTTTGCAGGTTAACCTTTGGCTATCTCATTTTTGTCTCCCACCCCCCTCATTTCTGTACTTTAATAAAAATGCCTTTTAAAAAAGACATGCTCTTGGGTATGCGCTCTAGCAGTAAGAAATAGAGTCACAGCAAGACGCAGATGTTCGAGGCAGTGAAACATTACCTTCATGCAAAAGCATTTTGAAGGAGGCATCTCTCTCTTGTCCTGAACCTCTAGATAACTGCCACTTGCTGCGACTTGCCTTCCCAGCTCTCCTTTGAGGTAACCTTGGCACATGGTAATGTGTTAACTCAGGCAGAAAAAATTGAATTATTTCTTGCTGTGAACCGTAAGGTAAGATGACAGATGTGGGAGGCAGCACAAACCAGCATGCCTGTAAGT